GTTGAATGGGGAGAATCGCGCTGTATTTATAGGACAGAGGCCGAGGCGTCCAAGTCAAAGCGTCCAGATCCAAATTGTCCAAGGTTGGACGCCTTACGCGGCCCGTCCATTCGCTGCTTGCCACGTGTCTTCCTTGATCTGCAATCCAGCCCAGGCGTCCAACTCCAAGCGTCCAACTTGGCCAAGCGTCCAAGTTGGACGCCTTGAGGCCTTGGTCCATTGGGCTTCGCGGCTCTTACGAGATCTTGGCCCAATTTCACTGATTTTCGGCTCGAATGTCGATTTTATCTTCTCGGAAGCTCGTTCAAGCCCGAAACTTGATCCTTTGATTACCTATTCCCTTTTTCTCAAGCAATTGAACATAAAATGGATAATTTATGATGATTTTCTGTGGAATCCCATTTTATGACTCTTAGAACAAAAATGAGAGTTTTATGCATCAGAATCACTTTTTACGAGATGATTAAATATTATTTATGTGCAATAATGTTTAGAATATGATGTAAATGATAAGAACGAAATGGAGTTATCAATATATATATATATATATATATATATATATATATTATATATATATATATATATATATATATATATATATATATATATATATATATATATATATATTTAAGGAAAATATTATTAAAATACAAAATAGAAGCGAAAAGGGGTGGCTCGGGCCCCAACAAAAGAGCCAAAACAAAGAAACTCCAATCCAATACGAGATACACAGAAAGCACTAAAACAACAAACCACGTCCACTCCAACATCGAAGCTTTCACAAAAGGACATCTTGGGCAGCTTGGATAGAGATCCAACATAGTTCCCAAACAAGAAGCAACCTCCAAAGCTGGTCTGGTCTTAGAATGAGTGATATGCAATGTATTACCATGAACTGCTGACCCCCTAACCCATATGCCTGCTCAAAAAACAGATAAACCAAAGACTTCCACCAATACAGATGACAATGAAATGATAAAAATAGGATAATCCCTTATCAAAATAAGAAGAAGATCAAAACCCCCATTGATTGTCCGAGTCCAAAGAAAACTCTGATCGACTTGGAGAGGGGATCCGACGTCGCCTAGCAAGTCTAAGACTCCTTCTAGGAGCAGGGGGGCTTGAACCGCTAGCACATCCCCTCTCAAAAATGATCCGCCCCTGATCATTATTACGAATAAGAGCAGCTGTAAGTCCCTTTGGACCTCCCCATCGATTTAGGTGGTCATCTGGCTCGATACCATCATCCGAGTACCATTCTCTCCAAGGCTCCGGGTCCGGGTCAAACTCAGCACTATCTCTAAAGAACAATTGAAAGTCCGGGTTGTCCTCCTTTCTAAAAATCTCTGAATCTGATAGGCATGCTCTAGGGGCTGATTGACTTTGATCCTCCTCCTCAGGGAAAACAACCTGTAAAGGTTCAAAACTGTGTATAGCAGCTAGAGAGTTTAAGGACCCTATTTCCAAAGAAGTTTGAAGCTGAGAACAAGATCTTGGTGCATTATCCATAGGAACTGAATTCGAAGTGTCCTCTTTTGTAACAGGAGATGTACCCAATGCATAATTCTCATCACTAGCCTTAGGTTTCAAGGAGTAAAGGGAACAGAAATGTCGAAACAAAAGAAGCCAAATTAGACTACTAAAACCTCCAGGAAAGGAAAACAAATTCGCAGGGGTGATATTAGAGCAGGTTTTAGGAAGTGAATCCGAAGTCACATAAGGCCTGGGGTAAAGGACCAAAGCATTAACATCCTGACTAGAATCTTTGGAAGAACTTATAACTGATTTATTCAATCCCGAAGCCTCTTCTGCAAATGAGGAATGATGACTATTCCCAGTGTTTGCTGCCAAGATGGGATTTTTCACCTTATTCTTGCCCTTAATCTTAGATAAGAAAGAGGATAGACGGTTGAACAAGTGAGAAATGCCATCCCTCCTATCAATAGGGAAGAAAATTGAGCAGATACCTTCAAATCTATGCTCAAAAATTCTGATATAATCCCCCCATTTGTTGGATCCAAAAGAAATTGTAAGCTTTCGATTAGTCTCAAACCTTGAAAGAACCCAACAATTATTACTTGAGAGCCTAGGCAGGGAGTCCAAAATC